TTTTTAACCCTCTATTGGAAGCCGCCCAGAGTGGCTGGGGAAACTCAGCCAGATGGGCGGGGTATAAATATTATTATTATTATTATTATTATTATTATTATTATTATTAGGGGCCAGTCACTCTCTTTCAGCTTAACCTGCCTTGAAAGGATTGTTGTGCTGGGCTTAAATGAAGAGTTGGGAGAAACTTGTACGTCACTTTGAGCTCTTTGGAGAAGAAGGTGAGCTATTAATGCAAATAAATGGGACGTATGGTTCAAAAGTGGATTAAAAGAAAAGTGATACCCGTGACTGGCGTGAATTAGGTGAGATGCAGAAACAGCATTTCACAACCAGGATACGGAAAGCCGGCTTCTCCTTGCCCTTTGTGTTCTCCCACGCTTCCAACAATCAAAATTGCAAAGGTCTTTTGGCTTGTATAGCTTTGTGAAGCGGCTGATGCATTCACGGCAACATATAAATAAGAAAGGCGCAGAGAAACAACCGCCGTGCTCTCTGTGTGTGCGCAGATTCACACACGGATAGATAAGGAGATCAGTCAGCCCAAGATTTATTGCTTAATGAATTAGCCTATGCCAAGACTTTGTCATTCCCGCAAGCAGATAAAATCGGGAATTAAACTGCACCCAAAGTAAAACAAAAACAAAACACGCCAGCAAACAGGGTGCAGGTTGGCAGCCCATATATTTAAAGGTATATCTTAATGTGTGCTGTCTGACAGTTGATGGCATTTGCTGCCATGAATGATATTTTCAGTGTCTGTGTGGCCAAAGCAAATTTCATAGCTCTCACTGATTTTTCTCCATTGGACAGAAGGCAAAGTTCTTGGAATTGTTCAAGCGATCTGGCAACGGCCGGATTAATTTCTTCCTGGATGTGCTGGAGGTATATCGGATAAACGGAGTCCAAGATGATCCTATACCCATATTCCTGTTACCAGGACCAATTAAACATAGCAGTACTTCTTAGTAACATGCAAAATCCTGTGGGATGGGGAGAGAAAGGGTTCAGTTTTAAATAGGGTTGAAAATTTTCCTTTTTTATATATATATAAATTTTATTAGTTTTTTAACATCATTTTCAACAATAATTAAACATACTTTTATATCTTATACAATTTTTTTGACTTCCATCAATCACATGTGAAAATTTTCCAATCTCTTCACTTAATTTACATTTCTTACTTCCACTATTACATTTAAGTCTCATAACTAATATCTCTATTCTTTCTCTACTTTGTAATGTTTCATATATTTCTCCTTACAAAATTTATTGTAGTCCTACCAGCGTAATTTGTTGATTACAGTTGCTCTTCAAATAATTTGTATACTTTTCCCAATCTTCTGTGAATCTCTGGTCCCGCAGGTTTCGAATCCTTCCTATCATTTTATCTAATTCTGCGTAGTCCATTAATTTTGTCTGCCATTCTTCTTTCGTCGGAATTTCATCTTGCTTCTATTTCTGGGCTAACAATACTCTCGCCGCTGTAGTTGCATATAAAAACAATTTAACATCTTGCCTATTAATGTCACCTATAATACCAAGTAAAAATGCTGCTGGCTTTTTTAAAAAATGTATATTTCAACATCTTTTTCATCTCATTATATATCATTTCCCAGAAGTTTTTTTACTTTCTTACATTCCCAAGGGTTGCCATTTTTCCAACCAGCACAAGTGGCTGTGCCTTTTATGGCAGCATATGCATCTGAATAAATAAGGGAGCCAATGCAGATCTTTCAGGACGGTGTTATATGGTCCAGGCAGCCGCTCCCAGTCACCAGTCTAGCTGCCACATTCTGGATTAATTGCAGTTTCCGGGTCACCTTCAAAGGTAGCTCCACGTAGAGCACATTGCAGTAGTCCAAGCGAGAGATAACCAGAGCATGCACCACTCTGGCGAGACAGTCTGCAGGCAGGCAGGGTCTCAGCCTGCGTACTAGATGGAGCTGGCAGACAGCTGCCCTGGACACAGAATTGACCTGTGCCTCCATGGACAGCTGTGAGTCCAGAACTGGTCCTTCAGGGGCACAGTTACCCCATTCAGGACCTGGGAGTCCTCCACACCTGCCCGCCTCCTGTCCCCCCAAAACAGTACTTCTGTCTTGTCAGGATTCAACCTCAATCTGTTAGCTGCCATCCATCCTCCAGCCACCGCCAGATGGTTCCGTCTCTCTACTGGAAACCACAGAAGGGGAGTGGGTTCGAATCCTGCATGCAGGTTTCCCATTCAGGGCAGCCAGTTGGCCACTGTGAGAAGAGGATGCTGTTCTTATGTTCCTCAGAGCAAGCAAGCCACACCTTGAGCCTTCTCAGCAGGCGGCTGCCACACCAACTGCTTGAAGACCCCCAACCAGGGAGACCACCGTGCAGTACCACTTTCTAGGTTAAAAGCGAAGTGTTTCTCCCTTTAATTGTACGCCATTTAAAAAAGAGGAGAGAGGCCAGTTTTGTGGCTCCGTCATATTCATATATATATATAAAGGTAAAGGGACCCCTGACCATTAGGTCCAGTCGTGGCCGACTCTGGGGTTGCGGCGCTCATCTCGCTTTACTGGCCGAGGGAGCCGGCGTCCAGCTTTCGGGTCATGTGGCCAGCATGACTAAGCCGCTTCTGACGAACCAGAGCAGCGCATGGAAACGCCGTTTACCTTCCCGCCGGAGTGGTACCTATTTATCTACTTGCACTTTGATGTGCTTTCGAACTGCTAGGTTGGCAGGAGCAGGGACCAAGCAACGGGAGCTCACCCCGTCACGGGGATTTGAACCGCCAACCTTCCGATCGGCAAGCCCTGGGCTCAGTGGTTTAGACCACAGCGCCACCCGCGTCCATATATATATATATATACACACACACACACACACACGCAGTGGTACCTCAGGTTAAGTACTTACGGTAATTTGTTCCGGAGATCCGTTCTTAACCTGAAACTGTTCTTAACCTGAAGCACCACTTTAGCTAATGGGGCCTCCTGCTGCTGCTGCGCCGCTGGAGCCCAATTTCTGTTCTTATCGTGAAGCAAAGTTCTTAACCTGAAGCACTATTTCTGGGTTAGCAGAGTGTGTAACCTGAAGCGTCTGTAACCTGAAGCGTATGTAACCTGAGGTACCACTGTGTGTGTGTGTGTGTGTGTGTGTGTGTATATATATATATATATATTAATTGAAAGAGCTTTCTCTTCCTTCCAGGATCTCACAAAAGCCACTGTCGTGAGGTTTTGGCAAACACAGCTCCTTATTCCACAGGGGACCTCTTTCCATGAGTCAAAATACGGCAAGTGCGGCCTTCCAGATGTTGGAGCGGCCACTCCCCTCATCCACCCTGGACCTTGGCCAGCTGCAGCCCCAGTTTCCCTGCTCCCTTCCACCCAGGTGGAGCCAACTGAGTCCCTTCGGACATTGTTGGACATTCACCAGCCCTGACCACTAGCCCTGAGGGCTGCCGCAGGGGCTGATGGGAGTGGGGGGGGTCTTGCAACAGCCTGTTGGGCTGGGCTAGCTGAAGAGTCTGTAACTGCAGCGCTTCTTGGGTCCCCCAGCTGACTGTTGCTGGACTACAATTCCCATCATCCCTGACCGCTGGTCCTGCTAGTTAGCGAGGATGGGAGTCGCAGTCCCACAGTGGAGAAGCACTGGAAGGGGCTGGGACCACCCAACAGAATGCGGCAGGAGGGCCCCTGATAGATCCCACCCCCCCACCGCCGCCGCAGGTGGGATGGCCCAGTGGGTAGAGACCAGACTCTTAATCTCAGGGCCGTGGGTTCAAGCCTCCAGTTTGGCAGAAGAGTCTTGCATTGCGGTGGGGGGGGGGGTTGCGCAAGAGCCAGTGTGGTGTAGTGGTTAAGAGCGGTAGACTCGTAATCTGGTGAACCGGGTTCGCGTCTCCGCTCCTCCACCTGCAGCTGCTGGGTGACCTTGGGCCAGTCACATTTCTTTGAAGTCTCTCAGCCCCACTCACCTCACAGAGTGTTTGTTGTGGGGGAGGAAGGGAAAGGAGAATGTGAGCCGCTTTGAGACTCCTGAAGGGGAGTGAAAGGCGGGATATCAAATCCAAACTCTTCTTCTTCTTCTTCTAGATGACTCGGGTCCCTTCCAACCATGGGCGTAGCCATGATTTATGTTGGCAGAGTAGGGGGGCAGGATCTATGCTGGGGAGGTCTGAACCGAGCTATTTGCGACACGTTTGGTCGGTTAATTAAGTATTTTTATTTATTCACATGATTTGGGGGTGGACAGCTGCCCTCCTTCGCCTTTGGAGCTTCCCAACTCTCCAAATGCATGATTCCACGACTTGGCAGAAGGCAGCCGCCCACCTACTCAAACGCACCCTTTCTTCCTACCCACGAGGACTAGCGCCTTAGCTTCTCCTTTTGCAAGAAAGGGAAGCAGCTCTGTGGCAAGCGCGTCTGCCGGGCACGCGGGAAACCCCAATCCCTGATCAGGCCATGTGTACGCAGGGCTGGGGACGTCCCTTGCCTGAAACCCCGGAGAGGAGCTGCCGCTGCTGCTGCCGGCCAGTGCAGGCATCGCGGGGCTGGCTGGGTCGCCCGTCCATCCAGGAGGAGGAAGAAGAGACGCAGCCGCCCCGGCCGCGCTTCCTGGACGCAAACTGGCCCCGCGCGCGTTTCTTCTTAACCACGAGGACTAGCGCCTTAGCTTTTCGTTTTGGAGAAAGGGCTGCAGCCGTGTGCGCGCAGGGCTGGGGCAGTCCCTCGCAGGAAACCCCGGAGAGGAGCTGCTGCCGCTGCCGGCCCGTGCAGGCACCCAGGGGCGCGCTGCCGGCCCGAGTCCCCTCGCCAGGAGGAGGAGACGCAGCGTTGCTCCGGCTGGCGCGCCCTGGGCGCAATGAACCCCGCGCGCCGCGAAGGAACCGGTTGCTCCTCCTGGCCGGTCCCGGTGCCGCCCCCTCCCTGCCCCGGAGGGTCGGGAAACGATGCTGCTGCTGCCGCCGCCCCCTTGGCTGGGCGGAGGGCCAGGGAAAGTGGCCGGGCGACGAGGCTCCACCCCGGCGCGCGTGATGTCAGGCGGCCCTGCCCAGCGCAGCCAGAGCGCAGCCGGGCGTCTTCGGCAGCAGCAGCGACGGCTCTGGCTCCGCTTCCCGATCCGAATCGGAGCTGCGCTCCCGGGAGGTTGGGCACCCGTCGGCGGCGTGGCCTGGGCAGCGAGTCCTGGATGCCCCGCGCTGGGCGACCGGCCAGGGGCTCCCATTGCCGGGGCGCCGCGGCCGAGGGGCAGGGGGCTGCCCGCCACCCACCGCCGCCAGCACAATGAGACGGCGGAGGACCCCTGGCGACGTGCTGTGCACCCTCGTCTTCCTCCTCTGCTACGCGAGGCCCCAGGTGAGACCCCCGCTTCTGGGACACCCACCCGAACCCTTTTGCTGGGTGCCCGGGAGGTGCCCGATTGGGGCACCCAGGCACGCCTCTCCAACACTCGCGGGTGGGGTGGGCGCTTGAAATGGGCGCACCAACCCCACGCTGGGAGAGGCAGGTGCCAACTTTGCCCAGGCATGCCCAGCCTCTGTTTACCCCAAGTTGAGAGCTTGTAGGTTTTGGGTGGTAGGGGTGCCTAGAATTCTCTCTCGGTGGCACTTGGAGAGAGGCACCAGGGCACCCGGGCTCTTTGGCTGGGTGTGGGCACCGCTGAGCATCAGGCTCGTCGGGGGCTGCTTTGCACCCGTCTCCGGGCTCTCAACCGCCTCCAGGTGCCACCTTGCCCATGCCAACCTCAGAGAACCCTTTGCGCTCTCGTCTCTGCGCATCGCACCCTGTCCAGAGAGAGAACTGGACGGCGCAATCCCTTTGAGAGCTAGGCGTGGTGTCTTGCTGGCCAGCCACAAGGCGGAGAGCATCAATGCGCCATGTGGAGAGCATGTCTGCACCTCCACACTCGCTCCAGCGCCTGCTTGGTTGGATCCTGAGCTGGTTTTGTGTCTTTGCCCCAGAAGCTGCTGAAATGGGTTTGAGAGAGGGGACGTTTTTTCAGGGGGGCGGGGAACAGACTGGGGGAGAGATCTGTGATCATAGGGGGGTGCTCCCTTGCCTGCGTCAACATGCCACCATCTTTGGGGCATCTGGTGACACACCGACTGCTGGGAGTAAGCGCCAGCGAAGGCAACATGCGCCGGATCGTTCTCTCGGTTTGCTTGATATACCGGTTGAGCAACAACTTTCTGCTTCCCCCTCTAAAAAAAAAGGCTGGGATTTGTAGTTTGACGAGGCATCTAGATTGCTCTGTTATTAGAGATTTTCCCAGGCCCCCCTTCCCATCACAGAACTACAGTTCCCCCAGTTCCCAGTTCCAGGAAGGAACCTGGTTAAACTGGTTAGGTGTGGATTCATCTCTTTGGTGTTGAACCAGCCTCAGCCCCCGGGGTAGCTCTGGCACTGGATTAGACCCTGCTGTACTGGGCTTCCGTTTGCAGCTGGGACATTTGTTTGCAGGATCCTAGAGGGTCCTATCTGCCCCCCCCCCACTCACTTCCAAGGAACCTGCAGGATGAAGCTCCTGCGACCTCGCCGTGTTTCCCCCGCCGCCACCAACCGGGGGTGAGAAGAGGGCATGCAATCTTGCTTTTGGTTCGACTGCTGCTGTGCTGTGTGGCAGTTTGGCAGCTGCTCTGCTCCACCCCAAAGTCAGCTGTATCTCTGGGCTGGGAGGGACGCAGTCACCCCATCCCAGAGGCAGCTTTGAGTCAAGCTCGCCCCACGACTGGCAGCATCTCAGAAGTCAGAGCGGGTTAGGGAGGCAAAGCCGGCCGAGTCTTTTCAGGCTGTGAGCTTTGGGCGCCATTAAGAGGCAGATCTGAGGGCCCCGATCCTTTGATTGGGTTTTCTGTAGAAGCCGCATGGAAAGTGGACTGTGTGGAACCCCCTAATATCATCTAGGGGGGCCTATAGTTGGATCAGGGCAAAGGGCTGTCTAGTCCAACATCCTATGGCCAACCAGATTTTGTTTCCTAGAACTGTAGAGTTGAAAGGGACCCCGGGGTCATCCAGCCCAACCCCCTGCAATGCAGGAATATTTTGGCCCAATGTGGGACTCGAACCCACAACCCGGAGATTAAGAGTCTCTCTCAATTGAGTTATCCCAGGCAGTTTGCTTTCTACCCTTCCTCTCCTCCTTTTTCAGCCGTGGGCCGGTCCACTGTCCCTCAGACCATGTGGGGGGCCGGACTATATTTTTTGGGGGGAAATGAACGAATTCCTATGCCCCACAAATAACCCAGAGATGCATTTTAAATAAAATGACACATTCTACTCATGTAAAAACACGCTGATTCCCGGACCGTCTGCGGGCCAGATTTAGAAGGTGAATGGGCCTCATCCGGCCCCCGGGTCTTAGGTTGCCTACCCCTGCTCTAACCACTGCACCCCTGCTGTCTCCCTGGGCCCACCTCCCGTTGTGCAAGAGCACTTGCGTGCCTTCTGTTTCATTTCGGCGGAATGGGAACTTCCCGGTGGATCGGGTCCCGTGGTGCTTGGCAAGGAGGCAGGGTGCTCCGTGGATTTCGCACCTGGGGCGCCTGCTGCTGGCTCGGGTTCGATTTCCTTGTTCAGACACGAAGCAAAAGGCTGGCAGGGTTGGTGCGTCCGTGTGTGTGTTTTTGAGAGAAAAGCTTCCTTTCTTGCCGCTGCAAATGTTCCGGAGGCCGCAGAGTCCTGTGGGGAGCTGGCAAGGGCCGGGTGGGCTGGACCAGGTGGGCAGCAGCCTCCCTCCTGCTGGTGGCATTTGCCATCCCTGTGGCTCCACATCTGGCGGGCGCAAAGGGCAGAATGAGGAGCCGCCCTGCCCATAGGGCCCTCTGCAGGAGAGAGGGGCAGAGGTGAAATCCTGCCTGCTGTGATTCCAGTAACGCCCAGCATCCCCCTAGGGAAGATGGATTTCCTCATTGGGGAGGGCAAGGAACGGATCCGGCCTCCCCAGCTACGAGCGGGGAAGGAGGTGGCGGACATTTTGACCCCCTGCCCCCAGCGGGCAACACTCTCCCTTCCAACCAAAATACATTAATTCCTAGCAGTTTCGTAAGTGGGGATCTCAGAGTTGGGCGTTAAATTCTGGGGGCTCTTGCCCCTCCCTGAGTAGAAATCATGCCCCCAGACCTGGTTACCTTGGCCTGGGATCGGGGCCCACCCAACCTGAAGGACCTGCTTTGACCTCACAGTGTGATGTGCTCGATAATGGAAAGGGTGCCTCTGAACACGTGCAGAGTTCGTTTCCCTATCCACAGCCAAAGATGTGCAGTTGGCATTCCCACTCTGAGAGTGAGGTTTCTCTGCAAGCTCCTTCTTTTTCATGGGTTCCCCTGAGCATGCGCAGATGTTCCTTTGCCAGGGAACAGGCCGCAAGGGCAAGCTTGGAAATTTCTGCCACGTGTGAGGTTTGTGACCTGGGTGGGCTTCTCTCTAGCAAAGGAGCACCTCTCTGCACGTGCTCAGGGACTGCACAGCCGTAGCTGTTTGGGTGGCTGTGCATCAGGAGATGCACTCCACATATGCTCAGAGACACCATTTCCGTGATTATGCGTAGCTTAACAATCAAGCCTTGGCACTCGAGGCTGGATAGCTGAGTCGGTAGAGCATAAGGCTCTTAATCTCGGGGCTGTGGGTTCGAGTCCCGTGCTGGGTGAAATATTGCAATGCAGGGAGTTGGATTAGATGACCCTCGTTGTCCCTTCCAACTATACATTTCTGTGAATCTATGGAACAGGTTCTGGGGCCCGGCTCTGATTCACAGCCAGCCCTGATCCTGAGCCAGGATAGCCAGATCTAGGGGCATAATTTCTGCTTTGTGTGTGCATGTGAAAATCCCCAAAAAGGCCAGACAACTTGCGATGTGGATGGGTGGTGGGTAGGGAGAAGGGCAGCACCTTTCAGAACATGAAAACGAAAAATATTTTGCCCAAAGGCGTTTGGCCTTGCTGCTGTTGACAGCATCAGAACTCTGGATGCAGCCGATCTTTTGGGTCTGAAATCACTGAAATCCGAAATCACTGTCAGACCAGGAGGACAGATTCGGAAGCCAGTTTTTGGCTGGAGTTTAGCATTGGCTGAGCGGTGGACAGTACAGGATGAAATTTGGTTTTAACAGCCTTGAGTACTTTTGCAGCCTCATATGAAGTCTCCCCCAGATATACTGTGCTGATTTTTTGTACTTTCAATTTTCTATTTTATCGATTAATTTGATTTACTTCAATTTTTTTTTAATGACAAGTGGGCCTCTTTCCTAAGAACACAGGAAGAGTTTGCAGGATCAGACCAATGGCCGTTTTAGCCCAGCATCCTGTTCTCACAGGGGCCAACACATGCCTGTGGGAAACCAGTCGCCAGGATTCGAACACAAGACCCCCCTCTCTCCCCTCCTGCTGTTTCCAGCAACAGGCCTTCAGAAACACTGTTGCCTCCAGCCTTGAAGGCCAGGTGTCTCGATGGATTTGTCTACCACCCTCTTTCAGAGCTGCCCAAATTGGGGGCCGCCGCCGCCTCCTGTAGCAATGAGTTCCGTAGGTCAACCGCCCCAATCTCTCCTCTCGGTCTTCTCTGCCCCTTCCAGGTCTCCGAGGCGGCAGGAACCTTCGAGCTGCAGATCCGCTTTGCCCGCAACGAGAAAGGGGTGCTGGCTGACGGGCGGTGCTGCCGCGGGGGCCTGGATCCGCCGTGCCCCGTGGCGCAGCAATGCCACGCCTTCTTCCGGGTCTGCCTCAAGGAATACCAGCTGCGGGCTCTGCCCGGGGGGCCCTGCGTGCTGGGGGCCGCCACCACACCCGTCCTAGGGGGCAATGTCTTCTCCACCACTCACCAGAAGAAGAGTGATCACGCCGGCAGGGTGGTGATCCCGTTTGATTTTGCCTGGCCGGTAAGGTGGATTTGGGATCCTTCTCTTGGTGGTGGGTGGGTGGCAGGTGTGGGTGCCACTAAGAGGGGAGCTTGCGAATTCCTCAGGGGGCAGGGAGGGAAATAAGCACCGGAGCTTAAGGAAGCTGGCAGATGCAGCCCTCTGACTCAGATGCCCTGGCTCAGTGGTGATGGGGGGAATGGCATTCTGCACATGCTCAGGGGCTCTCTTCACTTCGCTAGGGTGCCAGATCTTCAGGCCTGACCTGAAGTCTGCCCGCTCCCCCTTCCAGGTGGGCGAGTGGCTTCAATTTAAATAGTTCTACACTGTTTTCACTATTTTTCTTTTAACAGAAATGTTTTAATTCTGATATAGTTCAATTGCTTTTCAGCTATTGCCTTCTGCATGTAGTTAGCCTTCTGTGTTTTGTTGTTTTGATTTGTGTGAGCCGCCTTGAGTCTGGGGAAAAGGCGGGATATAAATAAATATAATAATAATAATTAATAATAATATTTTTTAAAAAATTAAGAAGACTGTGCATGCGGTTTACAAGCTTCAGCCTAGCTGGAGCTGGCTGCAAATTATCGCATAGACATCACTAGGGCCTCCCATCGTGACATCACCAGGGGCCGCCCCCAGGTCTCAGTTTTGGGCCCTGAAATCTGAAGCCAAGTTCCCTGTCATTCTCCTCGCTAGGTAACATTCCCCTTCCGGAGCTGAGAATACAACCAGGCGTCTTGTCAGCCATTTTTCCTTGACAGCGAAGGGGCACAAACTCATTTCAGGCACTGCTCTGACTCCACAACCTAAAGCATAGGAAAAGGTGCAGACAAAGAGAGAAATGCCTGGATTAACTGAAGCCGGTGTGCAAGGTTTAGCATTTCACAGAACGCTTTGGCACATTGCGTCAGGGATGGCGCAGAGCTCTGTGAAACCCAGAAGCTTGCATACTCTCCCCTCCCCCTGCTGTCTTAAGTCTATCCAATTGCAAACCATTTCCATTCACTCCACAAAAATCTCCCTTTGAAGGGTGGCGATCTTTTTTTGGGGGGGGTGTTAACATCTGAAATCGGAGCCAGTTTCTTTTGCTAGCGTGGGACCCAGGTGCTCTTGGCGAGGGGCCGAGGGAGAGGGAACAGCAGAGAGCCAGATGGACTTTGCTTAGACTCTCTTTTCCCCTGGGGGAACTGAGGCAGATGCAATATCTCACTTGGCCAATCAGCTGGGCAAGGCAGCTCCTGTACAAACTGCCTGCCTAGTGATTTATTGATTTCCGGAGCTTTTATCCGGCTGCCTCCGATGCCAAAGACACAGAGATAGGTGTGTGTGTGTTTGTGTGTGCGTTCTATTTCCTCGTTCTAATTAATTAGGTCTCTGATTATATTAGCCCGGTGGGAAATGGGGGGAAGATTCTGAGCAGAGGGAATCCCCGTTCCTTGCCCTTCACCCCCAAAAGCCTGCGGGAGGTGGGAAAGTTTCAATTTCGAAAATTTCAGTTTTGTTGTTCTGTATGGGACGATGGCAATAAAGATTATCGTATCGTAAAGGATAGGGTTGGTCCTAGCGTCAGGACCCCCAGGACCTGGGAAGACTCCTGTTCCTTTTGAGATTATATGTTGGAAGGGGGAATTCTGTCACGTGCAACTTCTCCCCCTACGGAAACACAGGGAGGGCAAAGTTTGCATCCTGGCCAAGTTGTCTTTCCAAGCTGTTCTTAACAGCAGAAGAACCTGCAGAGACCTGGATGTGGCAACCCTTGTTTTCAAAGTCAAGACCTGCAGACGGTTGCTAGGGGAGGGGGAAACGCCTTCTTCGCTCCCCACCCACCTGCTCTCCCTTTCAGATTCTGTCTTGAAAGGGTGAAAATACAGGGTGTGGATCCGCTCCTAACCTGAAGCGATCTTTGCTCTCTGCCTCTACCAGATCCAGATCTGGTGTCGGGTGTGGTCCTCCTTGTTTTCCAAAAAGAGGGTTGGCGCTCATGCCTGGCCTGCCGGATAGGGAAGAGACACTCTGCACGTGTTCAGAGGTACTCTTCTCTATATGAGTAGCCGTTTAAGTATTCCGTGGTGGGGAGCTGCTATTTGAAGCAGGTCCCGGGGCTAAGGAACACCCCTCTCCCCAGCACATTGTGGCTCAAGCGACGGGTTGGGTCTGTGCCAGGATAGATTTCCCAGCGTTTATGGGCGCGGCTGCTTCTGTTGACATCCCCTCTCTCGCGAGAATTGAATGTAGCCCATAATAACTTCTTTTGGTGGGACAGGATCTGCTAGACCTGCCTTTTACTTGTATCCATGTGTTTGCTTGTTGAGGTTTCCATTGATTCTGTTCATTGTACAGTGGTACCTCAGGTTACATATGCTTCAGGTTACATACGCTTCAGGTTACAGACTCCGCTAACCCAGAAAAAGTGCTTCAGGTTAAGAACTTTGCTTCAGGATGAGAACAGAAATTGTGCTTTGGTGGCACGGCAGCAGCAGGAGGCCCCATTAGCTAAAGTGGTGCTTCAGGTTAAGAACAGTTTCAGGTTAAGTACGGACCTCCGGAACAAATTAAATACTTAACCCGAGGTACCACTGAAACTGATTTATGCTGTGCTTGCCAGTTGCTTCAAGTCATTTTTATGAGCAAAGCAGCTAATAATAATAATAATAATAATAATAATTTGATGTGGCAATTGGGTGCCCTCTCAGTCCTCTTTTACCAAGAGGATTCCAGCATTGCAGAGGATTGGGCTTGAGGTCCCTTCCAACTCTAGGATTCTACAAAGAGGATGCTAGCCACCTGCAGCTCTTTAAAGCCCTGGTATTGAAAACAAAAAGGGATGCGGGTGGCGCTGTGGGTTAAACCACAGAACCTAGGGCTTGCTGATCAGAAGGTCGGCGGTTCAAATCCCCGCGACGGGGTGAGCTCCCGTTGCTCGGTCCCTGCTCCTGCCAACCTAGCAGTTCGAAAGCACGTCAAAGTGCAAGTAGATAAATAGGTACCACTCCGGCGGGAAGGTAAACGGATTTCCGTGCGCTGCTCTGGTTTGCCAGAAGCGGCTTAGTCATGCTGGCCACATGACCCAGAAGCTGTATTCCAGCTCCCTCGGCCAGTAAAGCGAGATGAGCGCCGCAACCCCAGAGTTGGCCACGACTGGACCTAACAGTCAGGGGTCCCTTTACCTTTACCTTTAAGTGGTCATAGGATTGCAGCCTTAAGCAAATGCCCTACCAGATCGGGCCAATGGCTCACCTGGGAAACGAGAAAACAGGACTCGAACACAGGATCTCTCTCCTGCGATTTCCAGCAGAAGCGTTACTGCCTCCATCCATGAGAGCGCAGCCACTGATACCCTTCCCCCTCCATGAATTTGCCTAATGTTCTTTTAAAGCCATCCAACTTGGTGGCTATTGCTGACTGGTGGCAGTGAGTTCCGGAGTTTAACTCTGTGCGCTGTTCCTCATGCACCTTCCAGCTGCCCTGGTATGTTTTGAGCCGTTGATAACCTTTTGGGGGACAACATCTTTCCCCCCCTGCATATCTCCTTGAGCCAAGAACCATGACCCTCTTAGGGCAACCATTTTTGCAGAAGGCAGTCCTCTCTTCCAAAGGTTGTCGCTGCAATGGTCAGAGTTAGCAGGGTTCGAATCCCTCACTCAGCCACGATGCTCACTGGGTAAGCTTGGGCCAATCTCCATCTCTCAGTCTAACCTTACCTCACAGGGTTGTTGCGAGGGTGAAATGAGGGACGAGAACCATGTACACCACCTTGAGATCCTTGGACAATAAAGGTGGAAGAAGAAGAAGGAGGAGGAGGAGGAGGAGGAACCCTAATCTAGGACAGCAAGCCAAATGGGCACCCAGACTGCTTCCATTTCTGTTTATAAATTAGAGTATTTCTAAATTTTCAGCTATGCATAAAATATGCAAATCTCTTTTAGCCTTTTTTAAAAAAATACAAATCTCTTTTTGGCAATGCATTAAGTGGCCACCCTGGTGGAAGACCAACACTTGCAGAGGAAATTAATACAAAGCACAGATGGCAGAATTTGGCTTTCGGCTTGAGAAGTGAAATCTACAAGAAGCGTGTCCTTCTTTTCGGAAGTGGTGCCGAAGAACTTGTCTCCGTTCTTCCTCAGGACCGGCTCAAAGTTTAAGGGTGCTTTGTCTCAACTGAAGTAGAATCATACGAGTTGGAAGGGACCCCAAGAGTTATCCAGTCCAACCCTCTGCGAAGCAGGAATCCTGCCCACAGCCATTCCAGGGTGGATTCGAACCACCAACCTTCTGGATAACAGCCGGACACAATTAACCCATTGTGGCAGAGGATTAGGGCTGCTCCCACGGTGCTTTTTGTCCGTGGGCCCTGGCACTCCTACCTGGCAGCAGTGGGTAGAGGGGCACCTACCCACCATTTAAATATCCCACAATGCCCTGGAACGTGGCTAAGTCCAGGGCATTCTGGGAAATTAAAATGGCAGCTAGAGGCTTGGGATTCCCAGCACTGCTTGCTGGTGGGGAGACTGGGAGGCGAAAGGAACGGCCAGGGCACAGAGTGCGAGGTCTCCAACAACAAATGCCCAAGGTTGCCAGATTCTGGCGCCAGCCTTGCTTGTGCCAGCAAACCTTTGGCACAGCCCTGACCCTAGACCAGTGGCGTAGCGTGGGGGGTGCAGGGGGGCCGGCCGCACCAGGCGCAACACCTGGGGGGGCGCAGAAGAGACTCGAGTGCTAAAATCCACGGGTTAGGGGGCACAAATCACTTGCCTTGCCCCGGCTGCTGACAACCCACGCTACGCCACTGCCCTAGACAGGTATTTCCAAAGCGATTTCCGCCATCCGCTCGGAGAAGGGAAAATGAGAGGCAGATGGACGGAGCGGAATATACAAGCCAGCGGAAGCTTTTAACCCAGAGCCAAAGCATCCCACCCACTTAGCCGCCGTGCCCTTGCGGCGGGGAAAGGCATCTGGGGCGGGCCCCATAGAGTCAAAGGTCATTGGTGCTCCGTGACCTTTCCCAGGGCCGGAGGAGAGGGACGGCTGGGCTTTCCTCGCTCTCACTGTCTTTCCAAATCCAGGTGGACCTTTTAAAAGGAACAAAACAGAAAGGGCAGACCAGCCTGTACAAACAGAGATCGCGCCCCAAAAAAGCATCAGTAGTGTGTGCTGGAGGCCAGTTGGAAAGCTTCGACCCAGGCATTTGAAAAGAACACTTTTCATCAGGTTAAAAGGAGCGAAAGAAAACGCTCTCTGCCCATTCACTGGGGAGGAGGTCTTTCCCCCGATTCGGATGACATTAAGGGACATTTCGGTGTGGATAAAAATAAGAGGCCTCAGAATTTTCAGAGAAAATCAACACACGTTTTGTTTTTAATAGGTAAAGGTAAAGGGACCCCTGACCGTTAGGTCCAGTCATGGCCGACTCTGGGGTTGCGGCGCTCAACTCGCTTTACTGGCCGAGGGAGCTGGCGTACAGCTTCCAGGTCATGTGGCCAGCATGACTAAGCCGCTTCTGGCGAACCAGAGCAGCGCACAGAAACGCCGTTTACCTTCCCACCAGAGCGGTACCTATTTATCCACTTGCACTTTGTGCTTTCGAACCGCCAACCTTCTAATCAGCAAGCCCTAGGCTCTGTGGTTTAACCCACAGCGCCACCCGCGTCCCCTATGCCCACTTACCTGAGAATTAGTCCCATGGGACTTGAAGAGACCTACTTTTGAGTAAGCATGCGTAAGGTTGTGTCACGCATCATTAAAGCTTTTCTCCAGGTGAGGGATGGAGAGGCAGGCGAGCCATTCCTCACAATCACATATCCTCCAGCCTTTCTCTGAAGAAAATAGGGACATCCCATTCCGTACCTTCCGACATTTCTCCAGTGAATGTAGAGACATCTCCCTCCCAACATTTCTTTGATGAGAATAGGGACGTCCTAAGGAAAAAAAGGGACGCGGGTGGCGCTGTGGGTTAAACCACAGAGCCTAGGGCTTGCTGATCGGAAGGTAGGCGGTTCGAATCCCCGCGACAGGGTGAGCTCCCGTTGCTCAGTCCCAGCTCCTGCCAACCTTGCAGTTTGAAAGCACGTCAAAGTGCAAGTAGATAAATAGGTACCTCTCCGGCAGGAAGGTAAACGGCATTTCCCTGCGCTGCTGTGGTTCGCCAGAAGCGGCTTAGTCATGCTGGCCATATGACCCGGAAGCTGTACGCCGGCTCCCTCGGCCAATAAAGTGAGATGAGCGCCGCAACCCCAGAGTCGGCCACAACTGGACCTAATGGTCAGGGGTCCCCTTACTTTTACCTTTAAACAGGACATTCCATGATCAAATCAGAAACTGGGGCGGCTTCTGTAAATCCGGAACTGTCCCTGGAAAATAGGGACATTTGGAGGGTCTGTAATTTCCCCCCTCAACATGCCAGGGATCCTCATCACCCCCCCTCAAAAAAAGTGCTGCATTCTTGGGCTTGAATAACCCCCTCCACGCCTGCCCACAGCCTCTGAAGGGTTGCATTTCAGAAGGTGGAAATGAGCTTGCTAAATGCGATGGAGATCTCATGTGCAGCGGAAAGGTGAGCCTATAATGTGGCCGTTTTGATATTCTCTTTCTTTCTCTCTCTCTCTCCCAGGGGAATTCCAGCGCTGGGAGGGCAAAGAAGGGTTGGGATTCCTCCTCCTCCTTCTCCCCCCCCCCAGCTCTTTGTGTTATTCTGCCCATCCCTCTGGGGTGGGGGGGAGGGCAGAGAAGAGGAGCGAGATCTAGAGATAAATAACTTAATTAAAGTCTCTCTCCTTAATTGATGCAAAGTCACTTTCCTCGCCTCCTCCCCAGATGACGGCTTAATTCTCTGCTGCAGCGCTCTGGGTCTGCGGTGCAAGGCTCTGAGGGTGGAGACCTGGGCAAATTTCGGGGCCTGGGTTTTCTGTGGGTCAAACCCACATCCTCCCATGAATTTTTTTAAGGCAGAGCTGTGGGGACTGGTTTGGCCCCGCAAGTTGTTTCCTCTAAGCC